TGTCGCGCTACAGGTCGGGAATGGTGAGTGTACAAGAGCCTTAAGGATGCTGCACTTCTAAAGTTATTATCAACTTGAAACCAAGGTGGATCCTTTTGAATAACTTTTCCAGGAATAAAAAGTTAAAGGAGAAGAACCGGTGCAGGAATAATTCTGATGCATAGAAAAACGAAAAAACAGATGCCAACTGCCTCACCTGTTACACCTGACAGAACCGGAATGGAGGCCAACAGTGAGTGTGGAGAGAATTGGCTGTATTATTCCACACTAATAAGAGAGGAAATAAATTAAGAAGCCTCAACTGAATTGCTTAGAAGTGGGACTGAAGGAGTGTAAAGATAAACTGGTTGATGTTGAGTTGGCACTCTATGGAACACAAGAGAGGATGAATGAAAGAAAAGAAAGAGAGAAAAGTATGTAACGCACTCCAAAAAGAAAAGAAAGAACTACGAAGAAACAAAACTGAAAGATTGGAAAGCTCTTCAGCCATCACATTTAATATCAGAATATTTGGCCTCGCCAAAGATGTGGAAAAGGCTGATGATCTCCAGAATGCAGAGATATTTTGCCAAAGAAAGAGAGAGTGCTGAATTTCAGGGGAATTAAAGTGAAGATCTTCCCGGATTTAACAGTGGGGGTGTTCCAAAAGAAGAGTGCAGTTCAAGGATCTCAGGATGAATTTACACCAGGCAGAAGTAAAACATGGTCTGATCCATCCAGCAACACTCATCATAACTTTTAAAGGAGATACTAACTAGATCTTGGAACAGCAGAGACCTTCTTCAACCAAGCTATTAACGATTTGCTGTCAGTGTATTGTACTGAGTAATGTGAGTGTGTATATTTGTGTAGCACTGTCACCATGTAAACTGTGAGGACCCCAGGAAGCATAGTGACTGCTTTACAGAAGCTAATGGGGATCTTAATAAACAACACACAAACATATATACTGTTTGTGAACTGCTGATTAACTTCAGTTTGCCTGCCTGTTGCTCAATTTAAGGCTGAAATTGTGTTTTTGCAGATGGCACTTCTAAATGACACAGTATACAGGACACACTGCACCCCTGGGACTCTGGAGTCAATGTCAGGCTGTACCGCCCTGACGAACTTCTTCCAGGGCAGTTTGAGGTCTGGGAGTTGCTTTGGAAACTCTAATTCAACAACAACATTTCCACTGGCAGATTGATCCTTACTTTAATTATATCTTTTCATTTTTGGCACATGTAATCATGTTTCCGTAAGAGCTTAAGTTATTTTGTAATGATGAGCCATAACTGTATGTACTGGGTACTTGTGTCTGACCTTAGTTGCACATTATGATGTTTTTACAGGGCAATACTTGAATTAAAC